CATTTTTCATCGGAATTGTCTGAAAATCCACACAAGGAGTTCGTTGTGGGTACTTTATACCTCGGCAGAGAATTATCTATATAGATCCACGATATTGTATAGCCCTCATATAACGGTACCCCCGATATTCCGTATTTTGATGTTTTTAGCCATGTTTTTCAACGGAATGGTCACAAGGGGTTCTTTGTGAGCACTTTACCCACCGACAGAGAATTCTCTATACAGGTTAACGATAACGTATAGCTTTGATATAACGGTACCCCGCGATATTCGGTATTTGGATGATATTAGCCACATTTTCCAATCGTATTGTCTGAAAATCCACACACGGAGTTCGTTGTGAGTACTTTACACGCAGACATAGATTTGTCTTTAAAGGTCCACAATATCGTATATCCCCCCATATATCGGCACCTTCCTATATTAGATATTTTAAAGATTTTAAAAGAATTTTTATTGGATTTTCTTTTTTTGAAAATTGAAATTCGTTCCAAATGGTGGAGGGTATTCAAAGTTCGGCCCGTCCGAACTTACTGCTTTTTTACTTGTTCTTTTTATTCCCTCCACATTGGAAAGGACGGTATATTAACTGTGTCATTCCGTTTGTAACATCCTTGAATATTCGTCGTAGACCCCAATAAAGTATATATATTCATAATCAGCATACAATTCTAAGTCGATTTAACGATGTACGTCTGTCTGTCCGTCTGTCTGTTGAAATCACGATACAGCCCACATTATTTGACGTAGAGCGCCAAAATTTAGCAGAGCTATTTGTATTGTGTCTAGGATGGTTGGTATTGAATATGAGATATATCGGTCCACGTTCTGGCATAGTCCAAATGTTACGATACCTCCCGATATTCGGTATTTTGATTATTTATGCCACATTTTTTCACGGATTTGTCTGAAAAATTCTTCGAACACTATCTTCATTCCTTTTTCGGCACACTTACAAACGGATATCAAATTTCTGTCCAATTCTGGAAGTAATAGCACGCTCTTTATTGTGCGCACCACTCTGCTGTTTGGAACTTTTACTTCTATATCTCCAACACCTCTAACACACAGCCTTCGCCCATCACCAACTTTAACATGACAATCACCTTTACTGAATTCCTTAAACACTTTGAACAGATGCCTCTGAAATGACATATGGTCGGTGGCACCAGAATCTGCATAGAAAATATTATAATATTTCTGATCTGTGCTGTTGGAATGGGCAACAAACAATTTTGCTCTTTCAATATGTTATGTTTTGTTCCGATTCCAATCGTCCTCTATTGTAAGAGATAATGAGTTATGTTGGTTTGTCCCCTTATTTTATTGGTCTCTTTGTCTCTTAAAACACTCTCTTGCCCAATGACCCGGTTTATGACAATAGTTGCACTTTCCACCCTTCTTTCCTGCCTCGCCTTTAAATTTACCGTTTCGTTGTTCTTTACTCACTGCAAATGCTGTTTTATTTATTTTGTTATCACTTAATTCGGCAGATCTCAAATTTAGCAATCGCTCTTCGTTGACAAGGTGGTCTGTTAATTTATCGATGTTTTGGTCGGAGCGGGGTACTGCATACCATGCCGTTCTTACATGGTCATATTTGGATGGCAGGCTACACAATATTTTTGAAATTTTCATTTGTTCCTTTTGTTCTAAATTCATATCATTTAGACGTAATGGTGGCAATGAAATTCATAACATTGTCGTCCTCTTCCATTTTCAAATTAATAAATTTCTCCAACAACACTTGTGCGGACTGTTCACTCTTTTCTGCATGTATCGTTTTCAATCTGCTCCACATTTGAGCTGCAGTTGTACAATCTGTTAAATATTTTAGTTGTTGTAATTCAAGTCCTCTCATTATAAACGCTTGAGCCTCAGCATCTTTCTTTTCCCATGCTTGACTATTTGTTGCTGATTTCATGACGGTGCCCAAAATGTATGGCTTCAGCTTATTTTTATATTTACACAATGGCTTTGTCAATGCATCAGCTAGTTGTTTGCCTGATTCTACATATTGTACATCAATATCACCATTTCGTTGAAGATCACAGGTGTAGAAATATCTAACATCTATGTGCCTTGTTCGTTTCACCGATTGGGGCTGTGTACCAAAGTAATCGCACGTTGATTATCAAACTGTATTGGTGTTGGGCCTGTTTGACTCGCATTGATATCTGCTGTTAATTTTCGTAACCATTTCACTTCTTTTGCTGCCTCGCACAGTTCTATAAACTCCGCTTCAGTGGTAGAAGTTGTTGTTACTGTCTGCTTTTTAGAACTCCATGCCACTGGTCCATCATATATAAAAGCAATCCATCCTGTCGTACTGCGCCCAGTATCGAGATCACCGGCAAAATCTGAATCACAATACATTGTTACTTTCTTACTTCCACTGCCAATATTAAAAGTTATGCCTCGGTTGTCCGTTCCTTTTAAGTATTTAAAAACACGTTTTACGCCTTTCCAGTGTTGATCGCTGGGATTTTCAACATATCTGCTTAGCACTCCAACAATATAGGCTAAGTAAGTCGTGTACATACCATCAAATACATCAAAGATCCGATCGCCTCTCTGTATGGAAAATTTATTGGGTTTGACTCCATACTTTGATACTCGACTGGGGTAGACACTGTTGAACAATTAATATGATTAAAACGTTGTAAAATTTTCTGAATATAAATATTTTGAAAAATCTTGATTTTCTTATTAGATTCATCAATATCAATTTGTATACCAACGAAAAACTCAGATTCTTTGTATGTTATTTCAAACTCTGTGTGTAAGTCTCGCAGAAGTTTCTCAATGACTGGTTTACTATTTCCATAGATTAGTCCGTCGTCCACATAAAGCGCCAAGTACATTCATTGCATAAATAAAGACACACAAATCAGCTGTTGATTGTTTGAATCCAAATTTCACAAGAAACTGGACAATTCTCTTGTTCCACTGATGAGATGCTTGCTTCAGACCTTACAAACTCTTTCTCAAACGACGCACCCGATCATCTTTCTCGAAACCAAACGGTTGCTCCATAAAAATGTTTTTGTATTTTTCAATTTCTCCATTCGACGTGTACTTACGGTTACACACCCACTGATTTGACAATACATTCATTTCTTTTGTTCTCTCCACTAAAGTCCAGGTTTCATTTTTATTTAACGCCGTAATTTCCTCTTCAATAGCTTCCAACTACTTGTGACAATCCACACTATTTAGAACTTCTTCCAATGTTGTTGGCTCCAATTCTGTAATACACAATTCACTATCGCCGCTAACGGAATTTTCTGTTTTACTTTTAGCTCCGCTTCTGGTGTTGTATGGGCTGCGTTTTATTGGGGAAACAGAATTCATTTCTTTATAATTATCTTCTTTGTTTTGATTATCTTTGATTTCTCTTATTTCCACCACTTCGTTTTTTTTTTCTTTTGTTTCATTTATTTTGACATCTCTTCTGATCAAAATTTTCCTGTTTGTTGGATCGTAAATTCGGTATGCCTTACTCTCATCATTGTAACCAACATCATCCCTTTGCATGCGTTCCGTTCCCATTTCGTCCTCTGTTCTTTTGGTACATGTACAAATGCGTCGCTGCCAAATATTTTGAGGTGACCAACTGAAGGTTTCTTGTTCCACCACAATTGGTAAGGTGTTTTACCATTTAAAACCACGGAGGATGTGCGATTTTTGAGGTAGACTGCAGTATTTGTTGCTTCTGCCCAAAGATGAAGGGGTAAACCACGTTCATGGACCATGGCTTTAGCACTCTCGACCACTGTGCGATTTTGTCTTTCTATAAAGCCATTCTGCTCTGGGGCTCATGGTGTTGTTACATCATATTTTATGCACATTTTTAACAGGAATTGGTTTACCTCTTCATTACAGAACTCGGATCCACCATCAGTCCGAAGTCGTTTTATTTTAAAGCCACTTGCCTGTACCTCTGCACAAAACTCCATTAATTTATCCAGAACTTCTGTTTTATTTTTAAGAAAATACACAAAACAATATCTCGAAAAATCGTCTTTCAAAAGTAAGAAATAATTTGATTTCCCAATAGAAGGTACACTCATCTTACCGCATAGATTTCCCCCTTGCTTTGGAAAACTCTCACGATGCTGCTTACCATAGGCACACCCTTCACAAAATGGAACATCAGCAGGAATATTTTCGATGTGCATATCCAATATCGGTTTTTTGTTGTTCATTTCTTGCAATGTTTTATAGTTGACATGACCAAGGCGCTCATGTCAAACGCTTATTGAATTTGCTGCGTAATGCACAGTGTTAACAACGGGAAAAATATTTAATTTGTACAATTTATAGTTGCGCGTACCATCTACAATTATGTTGTCACCTTACATGAAGCTAACCTTTTCAGCGCTTTCCTCGAACACTATCTTCATTCCTTTTTCGGCATACTTACAAACGGATATCAAATTTCTGTCCAATTCTGGAACTAATAGCACGCTCTTTATTGTGCGCACCGCTCTGCTGTTTGGAACTTTTACTTCTATATCTCCAACACCTCTAACACACAGCCTTCGCCCATCACCAACTTTAACATGACAATCACCTTTACTGAATTCCTTAAACACTTTGAACAGCTGCCTCTGAAATGACATATGGTCGGTGGCACCAGAATCTGCATAGAAAATATTATAATATTTCTGTTCTGTGCTGTTGGAATGGGCAACAAACAATTGTGCTCTTTCAATATGTTATGTTTTGTTCCGATTCCAATCGTCCTCTATTGTAAGAGATAATGAGTTATGTTGGTTTGTCCCCTTATTTTATTGGTCTCTTTGTCTCTTAAAACACTCTCTTGCCCAATGACCAGGTTTATGACAATAGTTGCACTTTCCACCCTTCTTTCCTGCCTCGCCTTTAAATTTACCGTTTCGTTGTTCTTTACTCACTGCAAATGCTGTTTTATTTATTTTGTTATCAGTTAATTCGGCAGATCTCAAATTTAACAATCGCTCTTCGTTGACAAGGTGTTAATTTATCGATGTTTTGGTCGGAGCGGGGTACTGCATACCATGCGTTCTTACATGGTCATATTTGGATGGCAGGCTACACAATATTTTTGAAATTATCATTTGTTCCTTTTGTTCTAAATTCATATCATTTAGTCGTTGTGTGAGCGACGTAATGGTGGCAATGAAATTCATAACATTGTCGTCCTCTTCCATTTTCAAATTAATAAATTTCTCCAACAACACTTGTGCGGACTGTTCACTCTTTTCTGCATGTATCGTTTTCAATCTGCTCCACATTTGAGCTGCAGTTGTACAATCTGTTAAATGTTTTAGTTGTTGTAATTCAAGTCCTCTCATTATAAACGCTTGAGCCTCAGCATCTTTCTCTTCCCATGCTTGACTATTTGTTGCTGATTTCATGACGGTGCCCAAAATGTATGGCTTCAGCTTATTTTCTGTCGTGTAAATTTCCATTTGCCGCTTCCACAATTGATAATTTTGCCCATTGAACCGATGTAACTGATAAACCTTTGTTTCAGCCATTTCAGGAAAATCCAAGTTATGTTCTTCCTCTGGTAGAAACTCTTCCATGTGAATTTAGTTCTAGATTAACGCAAGTTATTTTATTGCCAAGGCACTGGGCCCATAACTGTTGCAGAATTTAAATAAATATGCAGTAAACCTTGGACAATAAAAGAACTTAAGTTGATAATTCACTATTGGTTTTATTAATTAAATTTGTTGGAGACTTCAATGTTACCCTGCTGACAGACAAACGAAAAAGGGGGCGATTTCCAAAACGGAAATTCAGAAAATGACAGTATGCAATTTTATAAAGATTATCTTAAGATAATGTCATTAATTTGTAATGTTGCCATATGAACATAATTTATAAAATGCGCTAAATTCAACAGAGATATTTCAAAAATAACTTCTATGACAAAAAAAAATTTTTACGAAAATGACGAGATCGTAAGCTCAATACAAGACGAACCAAAGAATTAAATAAAACTAAAATTCTTTTCGAAAATCTTCTAAATCTTACAATTGCACTTATAAATATTTACATCAATCCACTCATTATGCTTTCGTTCTACCTAAACGAAGTAGCATAACCATGTAAGTTGGTTATGTCTGTTACAACAAAAACCTTTTCGTCGACAGTGCCTTGTCTATTAATAGAATAGTGTTGGCTTGTTTGTTCGGTATAACATAGTATTTTGTTGTTGCAAATTGTGTAGTGTACAGGACCGGGGTCTCTGCAGTGATGCACATTTTTATAACTATTAGAAGCACCGATGAACTTAGGGATAGTCTGGACTATGGGAGCCTTCTCTACGGTAGCTAACAGTCGGGTGGGGGATTCGTGTCCACACATATCTCTAAATCAGTTTGCACTAACAGATATATTTTACAGACTCCCTGCAATGTTAATTAATTGAGCAAATTAAAAATAGGCTGGTGCGATAAGGAGAGCAAAAATAAGAAAAAAAATACAATAACACGAAAAAATCCTATCGGCAAAAGAAAAGATAAAGAATTGGAGGACAATTTTCGCATACCTTGATAACGTTTTTTTCTCCCAGATGTTACAGGAGAAATGCCTCAAAACCCTCACCATCCGTAGTTCTGTCGGCTTGGAAATCTTATAGACAGAACCCCTACTATTATGTCACCTTTTTAACGCCTCATCTTGAGTGACAGAAACACCAACTTATTGCTTAGTACCTCATTCTAAATGATTTCATATTAACTTATTCAGTTCATGCAGAAAAAAAATAAAAATTAAACATAATATAGTTAAACTTGATGATAATATAGTTACATTACAACATCGGAAAAGTATTAGAATTTTTACAAACTAAAATAATAATTTGCTATTTTTCTCATGAATAATATTGGCTTAATATACAATTAAATTTTTGCGCAATTTCATTATTAATTAAAAATATAAACGCCTCCATTTATTCAAAAGAAATTAAATATGGAAAATTATTCAATAACTTGTGGTCCCTAATGGTTTAATTTCATTACTAAATCTGGTTTGAACCGAAAAGAGAAAACTTAATGGAAAGCGTTTGATTATGTACTAAAAGAGGGGTAAAATTGAACAAGAAGTAGAGATATGTCACACAAAAAAAACCTGAACAAGAGAACTACTCATTGCATCACTCGTGTAATCTTTCTTTCTTTTATTCTGATCTATTCATCAGTGCAACATATACACAACAATACTTACATATCTCAGAACTGAGACATGCACAATGGGTTGTTTTTTTAATTATAAAATGGACTCAAGACTTGCCAATAAACCGATGAAAATTATGGAGGCCTTCTCATGTCTCGATTTCGTTGTCTTGTCACTGTTGATTAAAACAGAATGTTATGGTATAAGTTGTCTATAACTTGCAGGGATGAATTTATATAGGTGATTCAAAAGATCATGTTGGTAGTTAAGTAAATTAATATGAGGTATAGTTACGACGTGGTTTGTAAATACTCGTGTTAACGAACTGCTTCCTAGACGTAAAAAGCCTTCATTGGGTTCTTTCCAAACATGCTTGCCAAGTTCTGAACACAATTTAATTTCCAAATTTTTCGCTGATCTTGATGATGGTTTATAAATCCGTCTTTGAGAGCAATACAAATTGTGAATATGGAACACGTTGTTATTTGGTGAATGTTATATAACGTAGTCCAAACTTGTTAAGAGATATTTTCATAAAAGAAAGCCCACTATGCGTTTGAGTATTATGGTCGAATGGTAGGACAATTTTATTATAATTAGAATTGTGGCATGCGTTTTACAATACATCAACTCCCAAAGTTCGATCAAAAAAAAAAAAAAATCTTCCAAGATTGGTGTGATCTCATGTGTTAAATTTTGACAGTGGGATGAATTCGAAGACGGATCCGTGATTTCTTCCACAGTAGGGCAGATGGAATTATTGTTTCGCCTCTAGAAAAATCGTGGGAAGAAAAGGCTGATAATGTGGACAGCCTTCCAAAAATCTTAGAGATTCTTTGGACCAATCAAGGGGTTTGACACGTGTTGTTTTAAGTTCACGTTATGATCCGTCTAAGGGAAAGTGTGGGTTTAAGACCGTCTTCATATTAAGATTAAATTGAAAATAATTACCTTCCAAAATTTTATAAGAAAGCGTATAAAATCGATATAAAGTAATATAAAAACCAAAAAATTTTTGATTTGCAATTTCGATTATGAGAATAAACGTTGATCTTCATAATTGATTATTTCACTGATGGGTGCGAGATGATTACACTTCGGTGTTAAATTTTGAAAAGAAGTTCTTCTTAAAAAATATAATGAAAGAATCTTAAGTCAAATACAATAGCTATACATCTCTGTAAGCCGCAAAAAAATGTGGTATGGGCATGTGCACCAAATCGTACCAAAACAGGTAAGATATTGTAATCGATTACTTCCAAATTCAGTGTATCCATTATTGAACCGACGTGAGTCAACCGGTTACATAAAACCGAATTAAATTGTGTAAGCGAACACTATTGAAGTCAAATTGAGTTTTTTTTTTTAATGTGGTTTTCTCCTTTTAATTAGTTCTCCTGTTAAATTTTTATCAGCGAAGTCTAGTGGCTTCGAGAGTTTTACAATATCGTAAAATTTTGCACTCATGTTCCCCTACACACTTTTCGTAAAAGGAGCAACCAAAACGAATACAAAATCAAAATAAATGGAGACAAAAACAAACATATTTCATTTGACCTTCTATGTGCTCCTGGTTGTACGGATTAATTTTCACTTTTATTGAATCCAACAGAGTGGGTGGTCATTTGCAGCACGTAATAAAGTGTTTGGTGTAGGTAATTGTTGGAGGATCAGAATAGTCGGAAAATATTTAAACTGCAAGTCAGCAGACGTCCATTACAACTGGTCAGGCTTAATCCCCTTTATTGTTGCTTTTATAAAAACAACGTTTGTTTATTAGTGGAGAACGATGGTAATGTTTACCAGGGGGTAAGGCAGAAAATACCTAGGTTTCGGAAAGAGCCACCAATCCTCATCAGTTACCTTTTTTTGTCTGGGATATTCTCCCCATAAGATATTTTAAAAATAATTTCTATGACAAAACAAAGCATTTTTCATCCAAGTGACCTGATCGTAAGCCCAATAGAAGATGAACCAACTGATTAAATAAAACAAAATTCGTTTGGGAAATCTTCTAAATCTTACAATGGCAATTATAAACATTTATATCTTTCTCCACTCAATATACTTTCGTTCTACCTGAATGAAATAGCATAACCATGAAAGTTTGTTCTGTCTGTTACAACAAAAACCCCTTCGTCGACCGGGCCTTGTCTCTTAATAGAACAGTGTTAATAGAACGTTTCTTTATTAGTGGAGATCGATGGTAATGTGTACCAGGGGTAGGGTAGAAAATACATAGGTTTCGTAAAGAGCCACCGATCCTCATCAGTTCCCTTGTTTTTATGTCTGGGATTTTCTCCCCAAAAGATATTTTAATAATAACTTCTGTGACAAAAACATTTTTGACCCAAGTGACGAGATCGTAAGCTCAATAGAAGATGATCCAAAGAATTAAATATAACTAAAATTCTTTTGGAAAATCTTCTAAATCTTACAATGGAAATTTAAACATTTATATCTTTCTCCACTCAATATGCTTTCATTCTATCTGAACGAAGTTGCATAACCATGTAAGTTGGCTTTGTCTGTTACAACAAAAACCTCTTCGTCGATCGTGCCTTGTCTATTAATAGAACAGTGTTGGCTTGATTTTTCGGGATAACATAGTATTTCGTTGTTGCAAACTGGTCAGGATTAACCCCTTTATTGTTATATTTATAAAAACAACATCTGTTTATTAGTTGCGAACGTTGGTAATGTTTACCAGTTGATGAGGCAGTGAATACCTAGGTTCCGGAGAGAGCCACCAATCCTCATCAGTAACCTTGTTTTTTTGTTTGGGATATCTCCCCAGATGATATTTTAAAAATAACTTCTGTGACAAAAAAAAAAAAAAATACCCATGTGACGAGATCGTAAGCTCAATAGAAGAGGAACCAAAGAATTTAATAAAACTATATTCGCTTGGAAAATCTTCTAAATCTTACAATGGCACTTATAAACATTTACATCTTTCTCCGCTCGTTATGCTTTCGTTCTACCTAAAGGAATTACCTTAACCATGTAAGTTGGTTTTGTCTGTTACAACAAAAACCCCTTCGTCGACAGTGCCTTATATATTTATAGAACAGTGTTGGCTTGTTTGTTCGGTATAACATAGTATTGTGTTGTTGCTGGTCAGGCTTAACCCCTTTATTGCTGTTTTATAAAAACAACGTTTGTTTTTTATTGGAGAACGATCGTAATGTTTACCAGGTGATAAGGCAGGGAATACCTAGGTTTCGGAAGAAGCTACCAATCCTCCTCAGATCCCTTGTTTTTTGTCTAGGATATTCTTCCCAGAAGTTATTTTAAGAAGTTATTTTAAAAATGACAAAAAAAAAAAAAAATTTACCCAAGAGACGCGATCGTAAGTTCAAAAGGCGAGGAACCATAGAACGAAATAAAACTAAAATTTCTT